CACTGTTATGAAACATCCTATCATTTCTTTTGCTTCATATTTTTAATTGCAGTCATTTGTTTTACTATTTTATTTTTATTTCATATTCTACTCTCCATTTAAATAAATAATTAAAGCATAAAATGTATCGGCTAGTTTATCGAACAAATTTTTGTTTAAAATGATGCATTATGACCACATTTTGTGCAGCTAAGACGACGTTTAGCTTGGTTCGTTTTAGGCATGATATGAGAACATTGGTTTAAATTCATGTGATTCACTTGTGTATAATCAAATAATGACGTCTGTAACCTAATCAACAGGAGATTGATGGCCCTAACCGAATCAGTACAGGACCCAATGAATAGTTACTATTATTAAAATAAGATTTGATAGATATTTAAACAAAATGAATAAGAAGACGACTCTGTCGAATAAGGCAACTACGTACTAGGAACGTCAAGCTTATATGATAGAGACAAATGGAAAAAGACGTTATGTATGCATGAAGATGAATTAAACAAACGTTTAATTAATTATCATAGGAAGCATATTCTGAGTCCTCCAACAAAACAAAACTTGAAAAATTACAATGATCATGTAAATTTATTCATCAAAAGATAAGAGATTATAAAGTTAAAATCTATTGAACAAATGTATCAGTATATTTTAATAATAAACTTTTTGCTTAAATATGTACATTAAAATTAATATTCTTCGTTTTTGAATATTCTATGGGGATTTTTAAACTGCTGAAATGTATCAGTGTTTCGAAGTTTATTTGTAACATTTTTCTTTAGCCTAAAAATTGCTAGCGAATCGTGGCTTAAATAATGTCAGTTAGTTTAATTTCAACATAGCTGCTCCAAATTGTGACATTAGGAAATTTATTTCCTTAAGATAAAACAAATAAAGCTAACAATGAGAATGATTTTTGAATAATTTCAGTACTTTGGAAAGTGCGTCAACTTTTTCGAACAATAAGGTATGATATATTAAGTAGTGTATTGAAGAGTGTTTTGAAACCTTACTTTTTAAAGAGATATTGAGGAGCAAGATAGTCAAATGGAAAGATAAAGTGGTTTAAGTAATTTTTTAATACACAAATGGAATATCAGATTGAGACCTATTCGTAAAAAGCACAGACTCTGATTACTAGATTGGAAATTTTGTAATATTAAGTATAATAACCTGAAAACAAATTTTTAAAATGTGTTGTATGGTTTAAATAGATTGATTATACAAGATAATTCAATATGTAACGTTAGAGTCACACAAAATAATCACTAAATACTTACGTACCTAGAGGTTTTCAGAGTGATTTAGTAAAGAATTTGTATGAATACATTATGAGTTTACAAAAACGCCATCCAACTGTACATGTATTTGGATAATTAAACGAAATGCTACGTGCCAGAAATAAACTCATTTTACTGAACATTTTTTTTCAATGGTTGACCAAACATTTACATCAAAGTCTGTGGTGTAGAAATTACCTTTTCGAATTGACACATTTTTTCAAATTTCATAGAGAAGTAACACCTTAATTCTTGAAAGTAACTAAGTGAAATTCACATAAATCGAGTTTCTTTACTAAGTAATACTTTAATTAAGGTACCTATAAATTGTTTTACTGAATAACAATGATGTGTGGACAGTATCGTGATCAAGTGATCAAGTTTAACTATCACATGAACATCTCGACAATATGAAATTTAAATTTAACCACGAAGTATATGAATAACTACTTCAATTCTGTCATCTATTCATGTTTTTATATTACGTGACTACGCAGAATGAGGGAATTAATCAAGAAAAACCTGGGATATATTAAAGCAAAGAGAGAACATCGATAGAGAAAACAATGATGGAGAGCAATGGAATTTCCAGAATTTAGATTAGAAAAATAATGTATCTGTGTGACTTTGATCTCTAAAACCCAAGGATGTCAACCAGTAAGTTCTCACTTTCCCAAATGGATCCAACAAAAAGTATGTCCTGATTTGACATTCCAATATGTGAAAGTTTCTCGTCTAGGCCGATGTTAAGTCTGTAAGACTGAAGATGACACAGGTAGTTGGAGTTTGACAACGCTTTACCCAGTAACACCTAATATGAATCTTGCCCACCAAGTGAAATCAAAAGTCAGAAGCGAGGAGGTTCGAAGATATATTTGATAGGCTATCAGTATATCGAGGATCGTCTGATCTAATCTGGCTAGCGATTGCAGTTGTTGAGCACGGCCTTCCCACTTGTGATCTGGTGCGGATACATGACCGAGAGCCTTCAGCTAGGTGAGTCCACTATAACTAATGTGGTCAGCATCTAATGTCGAAAACTTACAGAGCTATTTATTTTGGGGATTTATTTACCGCTACAAGACGAAGATGATAACTTTTATTAATAAGCAATTAATAACTGTAGTAATAACGCGTTTCCGAAAAAAAAAGTATTTTACCAGGAATACTCAGGTTTCGATCAGAAGAGACGTAACAATAACTTAGCTTTCGTTTGATTAAAAAAAATGAATATATGAGAAGTATCATTTCATAGGTAGTGTGAATCTTATGGTGTTGTATTAAACACAAGTTTAGAATAAAGTTTGTTGCCAAATGTCTTTATTTGGGGAGAGATTCAAGTCAGTTGAGATTAGATTACGCTTCTTAAGATTCAACGGGATTTCTAACAACCCATATTTTCATTGATGAAAATGGACTATAATTTCGAATTATTTAAAGGAAAGATTAATCTCTGAAAATCACCACTGGTCTAAAGGGGAAATCGTCTGTGCTGACCTACTATCAAATGACAAAAACTGGAATCCGAAGTAATATTTAACACGAAATGAAATGACCTATACTACCAGAGAATCATTTTATTCAGGGGAATATTTAAAAGTTAAAGAATAAAAATCAAGAACAGGTGGGACAAAACAGGTTCTAATCCTATATGACAGCCGAGTAAAACAGGGAAACATTTTGTGCAACTAGGATTGAATAATCACAATCTTGAACATAACTAATCACTTAAAATGGGAGAGTAAAATACTGTAATTTATGATTTCGTCAACAAACCATAATCAACATTAGCGTTGGTAGTATCCCAGTCAAACCATAGATGTTTTTAAAGGTAATTTAAAATCCACGTACGTTAACTATGCGGTAGCGGAGACTTCTTCGTAATTTGAAGTGTTTGTATTACATATCCATATGTGAAGCAAATGAGTTGGAAGGACATGATGACACATTAATCCATTGATGTATTTTAAACACAATGACTGAAGCAATTAAATTATATAAGGACTGTAAATCCAATAGTTTGCTCACATGTTTTATTGTTAGAACAATAATCTGCACATTTTTGAATTGAATAGATATCTCTATCTTCATGTAATTGGAAAATCACCATTTAAATCCAGTTTAAGGGTTATGAAGAAAAGTTAATCACAATATGCCCTAGTAACTAATGTTTGTGAATCAAAGTGAAATCCAAACATTCGATTTAAAGTTTTATTATCCACATAGAGAACAGGAAGGATTCGGATCGAGTTTACTCTGTAAGGAAACTAAAATTTTTGGCAAAAACAACGCAAGCGACTAATTTTGAGTTTCGTGTAGGAGCTCAGCAGATGCTCATTTAATCTCCATGTTGCCAGTATTGTCAAAAGTATCGCCTAGTGAGATGTTACTAACTTGAAAAATCCTAGGTTTTACAAACAAATACTACATGTTTTGTTAATTCTATTTGTAGTAAGCTGCTTCAGATGTAATAGGTACGCCAGAATGTGAGTTAAGTGCAGTTCTAAGAAGAGTCGTGAGCATCGCTCCTGAAATTTTGAGTCTCAAATACAGAATCACTTGACAAAATAGGTTTTGAAATATAAGTTATTAAAAACCCGACCCGATATATTCTCTTATATGTAACAAGATTTTACATCATTAGATTCTCAACACCAGCAATAGGCATAAGTTAATTATGCATCATTAAGACTTTTGTACTTCGAAAACATATACGTTGCTAAGAATGCATTCAGAGAATGATGAAATTATTTAATAAACATTTGCATCTGGTCAACAAACGAAGTAAAACATGTATTTCGAAAGCCGTGAGAGGCTTAACCAAATAGTACATAAGACCAGCTTGGGAAAGAACAATGGTGTTCTTAATTTAGTTCCGATTATTAATTTAATGACTCAACATCATAAGTCACAGCAAATAGACAGGCCAAATCACCTTAAAGCTAGACATCCGAATGTGGAAGTTTAAGAAATGAAACTTATAGAACTTGTGAATGTCGAAATTCTTGGCCATGAGGTAGTAACTAAAACTCCACTCCAATAAAAGATATAGGCCGTAAGAGATCAATTAATCAATCCATCAAGTGAGTCGATGTAAGTATGGGTTTCGTGCTTGTTTTTACCAAGATGATTTGTTCAAACCAAATAATTTAGGACGATAAGCTGTTTAAATCCAAATACGGCTGGGCAATATAATAGTAAGAACGAGGCATGAAAACCACAGGCTAGTAAGAAAAGAAAGTAGGACCAGTTAATTGTCCTTGCTTACTAACATGGCATTGGCTAAGATGTTAACCAGTCCAGACTGCCTTTTTTAACCAAAGGCAGTCAAGTTCGTTTTAAGGCCTGTCACTTATATTAGCCAATAGAATTTCAAACAACAAGGCAGTCAATAAAAGATCAATAAGCTGGTCAATGGCAATTTCAATAATTTCAATAAATTTAAGCATTAGTTTTTAATAAACATATTGGGGAAAATTTATTTCGGATTTGCTTAAATTCATCGTATGTCTGTTGCAAAGCCTATGATCCGGCAACCCCTGTCTTGGAGACCAATCGATTTTTCTCTATCCATTCATAACGCAGGCTTATATTGAATTGAAATATATTAATCATTTGACTTCAGGCTTTCTGTTTTGCGGTTGCTAATAATTGCGATCTGATGTTTTGTTTGGATTTTGGCTTTGTATTCTTGACTTATCCTCTGAATCGAACTGACAAATAATGCGTGTAACACGATATTTATGGATTAACAATTTACCTGATCGCGTTACTGAACAAGATATTCGTGATGTTTTACAAAGGTACTCTATTTCAAAATCCGGAAAGTTTTTAAATTGGATATATTACTGTTTTCATTGTTGTGCACTACTGTTTCCTATGCATGCCATTTGGATTTAGGCGCACGGATTTATATTTTGCTTCGTTTTCTTTTCAGTCATGGCAAAATCCAAAGTGTTCGAATTCATGAGCACGAAGGAAATAATGGTGCTGTTGTTGCATTCGTTGACACTAAGTCTGCAACTCGAGCAGTGGAAAGCACAATACGATTAAGAAAGGTTAATCTGTCTCTTCAGTACTGTGAATCATCTGGTATACCTGGAACTAACAGTTCTGATCAACTTGCTACACCATTGGATTATATTCAAACTAGCAACAATAGGTAAACTGTTTCTATGCCTATAATTAACATTAACTTATCAGCCTTTTGCAGTCGGATGTAAATTATTCACGACATAAAAGTCGATCTGTGAGTACAGTCAGTGATTCTAGTTCTGTATTTCATGATCCCGAAAACAACGGACAAACTGACATCTGGTAGTTTTCTCAAAATCCACTTAATTGACGCTTTTATTAAAATAGTTTATCACACACAACGAAACGGAATTATCCTAAAGATTTCAAAACCACTAACATGAATGCCAGTCCTCGCTTTCAAAATGAACATCGTGGATTAAAGATTAGTCATCTTCCTCTTCGTTCTTCAGACACTAATTTGCGCGAAGGATTATTTCATGAATACAAAAAGCATGGGAAAATTACTTCGGTGTTTGTACGCGGACAAGATGAAGAGCGTATCTGCATCATCACATTCAAAAAAAGTGAGGATGCCGAGAAGGCACTCGCATCATCTAAGGGTAAGGTGTTTTTTGGTACGCCAATATCAGTTCAACCACACGAAGGGTTAAGTAAGTCCAATATTAATAACTAGGTATGCAATTTAGATTCCGAAGACCCTGACTTATGTCCTCCTGAACATGCTTTGAATGAATACCACCCTAAGGCGACAAAAACTTTATTCGTTGGGAATCTTTGTTCGGGTACAATTACTCAAGACGAGCTTCGTCGCACTTTCCGTGGTTATGGTGAAATAATTGTAAGTGTTAACTCAATAACTATCTAATTTCAAACAGGAAATAGATATCAAGATTCAAGCGAATCAGCCAGGAACGTCCTATGCATTCATTCAATATGGGGATATAAAAAGTGTAGTGCGGGCTTTAAAAGAACAAGAAACTGTTCGTGTCAACGGGAAACCTGTCAAATTGGGTTTTGGTAAAAGTCAGCCAACGAATGTCGTGTGGCTAGATAACTTGTCGCCTACTATTAACGAGGCTTTCTTAACAAGACAGTTTGGCCGATATGGTCAGCTAACCCATGTTGTTTTGGATAGGAAATCAATGCGAGCGCTTTATATTTTGATAATGTTGAAGTTGCACAACATGCAGTAAACGAAACTCGTAATCGTGCTCTTGTTGGTCGTAAGGTTCAAATCGATTATGCTGGATACGAGTGTCAAGTTGCTTTCATGAAAAAGCTGTCTAAGCATGATAGTTTTGGACAGGTTTACGAAAACTATAAGTGAGTTTCCTGACTTACGTTAGATTCTTACTTTTTGTCAACATCTTACTTATGTTTGTTTCTTGTCTAGGGAACGGTTGCAAGAAGTGTTGTCACTCCTGCCTTACGGAAGTGTTATCCCTTATCTCGGGGATCGACAAAGGTAAGTTGGAAATCTAATGATCAGACAGAATCCATTAAAATGAAGGATGCTGTCATGCATTTAGTTGTGGCGTTTTTCCATTAGATAGATTTGTGTTTGTTATAATTAATCCGAAGGGAATCACATTTGTTCATAATCATTCACTCATGGTAGATATAACCTGGCTGTTGTAAACTTGAAAATTTTCAGTAGTGATGTAAATTACGGACTATGTCGATGGTTTATAATTAGTTTTTGCACTCGCATTGTGTATTCATGCTGTTCAACCACGTAAAATGTTATTATAGATTAGGAATACTGTGATTTAGCCATAATTCTTGATTGTCATCTCATTAGTTCACTTCAGGAAATCTAGGCACTTTTCATAACATCTGAAACCGTAACATCGATTCATCAAATGAGCACACTTTCCAAATTTATCCAAACTATGTAAGTACGTAATATCCTCGTTAAATATGACAAAATAAGTATTAATTGGATTCACTAAAGTGGGTTCTATTAAGGGTTGTTTCTGGCACAAATGGTATGTTTAATATACTGACGAACTTAGCTTGGGGATATGTGCACTAGTTGAACACATCGACTACTTATCTTGGAAGTTTCAACAGTCCCGATGGGTTAGTGTCTGACGAAATTTCGATATGCATTCTGAGTGGTCACCTGACTTGGTAACTTGCGTCACTTTTGGCGTCGGCGAGATGTACGTCTACAAATCGAACGTTGATTGTACGGGGTGGTAATTAGTGTTTTACTTTGTGGTTGTGAATCGTGTTCTGTAAAGTGGTCACCAATATGTTTATGGGTATCTTCGAGGCACTACTCGGGTATTTTGATCCCGATGAAAGAGGACTGCCGTTAGACTCAGGATATTAATGAATGGTGGCAAATCAGTTAACAAGATTGCGAATCTTCATCTACCAAGGTGATTGGAACACGTATTAGATATTCCCGAACGTCATCTATTTCGACGGTTAACGTTAGCTAGTGGAGTAGGTTGGAAGAAGGTTAGGGGAGGCCAAATCAAAATGTATTAGTTCATGAAGTCGCTAACTGTTGGAACCATATTATCAGATGCTGATCCCTCTTAGTTGGGACTGTGATTATTTGCATTTTCGCTTCTTACATACGTCGCGTTAACCACTATTAATATGAACATATCTGTAGTGGTCGAACCAATAAAAAGCATTAGTCCATTAAATCATAGACTATTGGTCTGAGTCGTATCAGAAAGTTCAGGTTTTTTTCAAGTAGCAGGCTAATAGTAATCTTTCTGGAAACTAATTTATATGACCGTCCTATAAATACTGAGTTTATTTCCCATTTATTATCCATTCCCAGAAATTCGCTCTTTATTTGATTACTCTTCTCATCCACTCAATTAAAGACAACGTAGAGCCTGGTCCATGCACATCGTTTTGAGTTGCATACTTCACTAACATAGCGTGGTTAAATTTTCAAAATGAATCTCAGTAGTAGAGGTAATAACAGTATTAATGGTAATCGAAAAGGTTAAACATTGGAGGTGCGGTTCGAGGAGACATAAGCTAATTCAATTTACAGAAATTGTTAAGAATGTGGAAACTTAGGACTTAAGGGAAGACAATGTGTGAACGAACCTGCACTATTGCGAACGATTTTGAACCATGTCACCTACAGTCTAACGATTTTTTTATGTTAATCATTCAGACTCTAACTAGTTAGTTTTGGGCTTACCTACATAACTTAGGACATATGTCAACAAAATTTATCGGGCGATGCTGCGTTTTGATTTGGCCTCCCCAGGCTTTCTTCCAACTTATCGCACTAGCAAGCATTGCTCTTCGAAGTGGGCGATATTTCGGCATGCGTAATACATCCATTAATTATGTTAGTTGATGAATATTCATTAATTTATCACCCGATTCGCCACTCTTACTACTTCATGCCTAGTCTCAACGTTGTCACTTAGGCGACAATTCAAAGACGTATGTAATCGAATACTAGTAGTTTGCGAATACCTTGTCTTTATAGGCCACGTTTCACATCCAGAAAGTAGAACAAGGCTAATTGCTGTATGTTATGCTTCCATCTTAGTTGGACGACGGATATCTGAACTACGGCACAAATGACGCAAGTTGTTAAGTTCTAACTGAGCTTTCCGAATTGTTTCGATTTTTCGTCAGGCACCATTTCACTAGGGCTGATGAAACTTTTAGGTTAATTAAAGTGATAAACGCACCCAACTACTTCACTCCCTATCATTAGGTGTTGAAGTAATATTTAGAGGGAGAGAACTAAATCCCAAAAGTGCTTGACTTGTTGCAAAGGACTACATATCAGCGTCTTTATCTAACAGAACTGTTATGTATACTCTAAGTCAACGAGTGAATCTTGTAGTGGAAGATCAGTCCTGAAGAATTTCGACGACGTAAACGTTATTTCTTAAAGAAAGTTAAGGTAAAGTGGACGATCCCAACTAACGCCACCTGAGGTTGGGAATTCTGAGGACAGTCCACTACAAATTTTGACTATCAGTAGTGTTCGAGCAAAGAACCTGTACTATGTTAATGTAATTAGTTATGCCTCAAATGACAAGCACTACCACAAAACGTTTCTGAATACTGCCTTAAGGTCGAAAAATACAGTCTTGATCGAAAGTTGGTTGGCAAATTTGTGTTCCAGAACCTGATGAAGAACGGATATTTGGTCTACATGTCTTTTTCAGGTTCAAAACCATTCTGATCTGTGGTTTGTTTTTCACAAGCTCTAGTCAAGCATGTGACTATTATTAAAGCTAGTGCTCTAAATATCATATTAATCATACTGATTCCTTTGTGGTTGTAGCTTATACTTGTAAACTAGAACAATCAGCGATCTAGACCAGTTGGAAGGGATTATGTTCGATTCTCAGATCCTAACTTAGATCAATCGAGGTGCTAAAACCATCATCTTTAAAAATACCGAGCTAATCCATTTAGGCCTGCTGCTCTCTCTTGCTCTTGGTTGCCTATAGATTGTTCGACATAACTAGAATTTGGAGGGTGTACGTCAGCTTACCAGTCAGACTGGTTTGAGATGGTGTGTAAATGGAGTGTCGTTGAAGGCCAGTTGAACTATTCCCCAAAGTATTTTATTCTTCGGTTCAGTCTCCTGGATTGAGTAAACTTTCCGTAAAGCTGAAATACTACGGATTCCATATATTTCGTATTTACTTGAACTCGTTATTAAATAAGTCTTCATCTTCCCTAAATCCCAACTGTAATCACTTACAGCTCTGTGAATGAATGGCGTTGAGAGCATTTCGTACTGCAACCACAAGATTAATTTGAATTTTATTAATTATTTGGCTGATTGTCTTAGGTTAGCAGTCTATCTTAACTCATCTATGTAGAAATCTTGTTCACATGACGTTTACTTTTTGTTTCAAGGTATTTTGGTGACAACCAACGGGATCATTTCGCAAGTGGGAATACAAAATTTTCCTATCGCAGGTCAAATTGTCTCCGTAGTAGTCCAGTAGATCATTCTATGAAGTACGAACAACCTTCTAATAGAACTAGGTGCGGATCATCGGTCTCTCCACACGAGCGGTCACATCAATCATCTGATCGCAGACGAACTTTCATTACTAGTTCTCCCGATGACTCAAAGATATCTGGTAACTTGATTTGTTCACATAGTAATCGGAACTCACACCATGGGAAATCCGATGCAAAAAATGTGCAGAGCGAGGATAGGTCAAGTCTTCTATCTCACAGAAGGCATCAGCATAATCAAATTCCTATCACATTAAAGTCATCTCGTTACTTATCTCATACTGAAGGAAAATCTAATCTTAATTCCCGTACACACGTAGATCAGTCAAACTTACGTAGCAGGGGGCAGCTTCTTGAAGAAACAGATGATATCAGTAGCGGTTCATTTTCCTCAGACTTTACAAATGATGATAGCTTTTTTGAAACTTCTTTAAAACATAGCAACACCAGTTCAGAGTGCTCAGCACCAACGTCTAAATTACCGTCACATGTGATTCGTGACCATGTTTTGAACATCGATAAACGAAAAAATGTAGATACTGATTTTTCTCAAAAATGTTCCCGCTCAAATCATTATGAGATAGAATCCCTTGATGAATCTTCCTACTCATCAAGTAAGAAATATACTCAGAAGGCAAGAGAAAGTGTAAGTCCTCATTCTCGAGTTGCCTCAACGCGATTGTCTGTTGTTAGGTCTCGAACATCATCTCAACACCGCTCTCATTGGGCTATTGATAGGAATTCGAATCTCAGGCAGAGTAGTCAGGAATGTCTTGAAGAAAATACTGACCAAAAGCACAGTAATACTAGTTTCCATTCACGAGCCCGAACGTTACTGAAACTCCCAGATGCTGATTCTTCGAGTCCAAATTACTCCTCAACAAAGTCTAAGCGGATTATGCTTTCGAAAGTTGCGTCGACATACAGGGATGTTGAATATTCTGGACGAGCAAACACTTCTACCATAAGTCCCATATCACCCGATGATGCACCATATAATGAATCAGAGGAGGCTTATGGACGTATTACTAACAGCGCCTGTTCTGATATTCCAATTGGAGTTAAGTCTCATGATACTCTTACAAAACTTGAAATGGAAAGAGCGAAATTACTGAGAGAACTTTCTCTATTAAATAATGAAGTAATTGGTGGAAGCAGAGGAAAAACAGGCAGCGTTACAATAAATTTGGGTAATTCCAATAGAAAGCGCGCCCCGTCCTCCTTGTTTGTAAATGATATTCCTTCACCAAAGTTAAAGTGAGTTTTCAAATTATGATCGGTTTATTATCTTTAACTTGGTTTATGTATTTTAAAAGTAGAAAGTATCAAAACTACTTATTTATTTGAACACATAAATATTGGTACAAAGGGGCACCAGATATATATGCGCCACACGAAGTATCAAAAGCTAACACATATCCAAGATACAAGTTTATTTGAATGCGATAATTGCTGTTCTCAGTTCGTATCGCATTATGATACAGTGTATCCAAAATGTTCATCATTTTTTGTAATTTAAGGAGAATGAGCCAGATAAATATGGCTAATAATAAGTATATCGTTGTTGTAAATAGGTAAAATTTCTTATTCATTGATATAGACTATCGGTTATCAAAAAAGGGTTCACAAATTAGTTTGTAATCGTCTCGTTATCGGGTCACACAATGAACAGACTGTTTGGTATGTTGAATTGATTTCATTGACATTTAATCAATCTACACATATTTATCACGAACTGATACTGGTTCAATAGTTGTTGAAAACAATGGCCACAGCACCAACTATTTAATTTAAGGATTCCTTATTTGCTTACATCCTCTATCTTGTATAAGATTCAACCCAGAAATTCTCACTTCATTCTGTGCATCCACTACTTGTGTTTACTATGATAGGGTTACTAGAACGAAGGAAGGGAATAAAAACATTACTTCGGAAGTAGTATGCTCCTGAAAATATTTTATAAATCTGAGTCTGCATATTTGTTTCCTGCGAGGTTGCGTAACAGATTTACTATAGTAATAAGAAGGTCAGCTGAAGTTCTTACTATTACTGTTTGTTTATGGTGTTGAATACAAACGTGATGTAATTGTGGCTCGTTACATTTTCCCGGTTTCTTAGTTTTTTTATCTCATTATGTAGTGTCCTCATTATTTGGATTACGATTTTCGGTTACGATTTTCTCAGAAAATAACACCAGATACTTGTTATTATTACTTCCGAAATATTTTAAACTGTTTCATCGTTTTACACGTAATAGTAAAATTCACTCTAGATCTCTTATATTTTAGGTGCGTCGAAAATAGCAGTAAATGCGAGTTAGTATCCATTCAAAGTCCTACGCTCACGAGTGATAATTTGATGAGTCCTGGATTTCGGGAATCTGTTTCCAGCTCTCATTCTATTAGACTAATGACAGCTTCACACGATTCTAATTCTGAAATTTCTGGTTCTAAACAGGGTGTTGTTGATAAGAATGTTTTCGCTTTGGCAGTTGATAACCATCTGAATACCAGTGATGTTGCGTCATCCAGTCGGCGAAACCATTTATCAAAAACTGCGCAAGGTCATGATTTTCAAAATATACATAGTAATTCTAGATCCGAAACTATGTTTCCTGCTATCGTCACTGATGGTTTAAATATGTCGGGCAGTCGGCAACCTGCTTTAATAACATCATCTCCAAGGATGGTCATTGCACCCGAATCCACATCACCGATGATACACATTTCACCTCCTAGTTCACCAATGATAATGGGTAAATCATCGTATGCTTCAACACTAGGCACTTCTCTTTCGTCTTCTGTTTTGACTGCTTCAACTTCCGGATCTATCATATCTTCTCTTGCAAACTCTTCTAGTAGAGATCCGCGTTTGGCTTTTCATCATACTCAGCTCTCCGATGATGTTCCTCCACCTCCTCCGGAAACTTTCAAATTACCTTTGTGGGTCGATACCTCACCTCATACAGAGATTATGATTTCCAATTCACTAACAAGTTCTGTCGCGAGAACACAATCTCCTCGCTTCTCAAAATTTCTTTGCGATGTTGAATCTGATGTCTCTATTCAGGACCCAAGCGGATGTTCACTAGATGAGCGTATTCGACTATTGGATGTTCAACTTATGAAGTCGGAAAAGGCTAGACCTACCGTAGATTATAGTAAATTTCGCATCAGACGTAAAGCAGAATCCAACTCAACTCCTCAATCCACCCAAATTAATAATCCAACGCAGTGTACTACTGGTGTGTCTGTTCCTTCTTGTACACCTCACTCACCTGTTTTGACTTCGACATATTCGATTACCACTCGCTGCGAACTTGGAGCTATAGACATGATTAATTCTAGCCTACCTGTTTCTTGTACATCTAATATTGGGTCGACTTCTCCCATTCTCTCTAATTCAACACTTTTAAATCTGGTCAAACCAGCTGATACCTCGGAGTTTGTCAAAAGTATGCTCTCGTTCTCTAAGCCATCTCCTTCGACACCTTGTGATACATCCAACAATATGTTCTCAAACGAAATAGCAACTACTAATCGACATACAGTTTCAATTCCATTATGTCAGAACTCGTTTCTCACACGTTTGCCTCGATCATGTGTTAGTAATAGTTTATCAGCAACCACTTTTATCCAATCATCTGTTTCTTCCTGCGGGAAACAAAAAAGTCCAAATAACAATCGTATTCACTCTAATGTTTGTAATGTGGAGCATAGTTCATTGTCTGGGGCTCAACCTGTTGGTGTGGCCACTAGGATGCCATCAGTAAAGCCTTTTTGTGGGTCAGATGTTTTAAAACCTGAAGATAATTTGGTAGGAAAAGGTGACACTAAATTCAACACGTTAAAAGAAAGTGTCGATTACGTTGAGAAGTGTGAACCTGTGATTTTATCTAATTCACTCAATAACACCTCAACAGAGTTTAACGCTAATCTTCCGTCTTATGTTAACGATAATCAAAAGTGTGTTGATGTGTCCAATAAAGTTGGTGTACATGGTGTTTCCCCTCTTTTGGGATCATCTAATGATTTTTATAAAACCAGTCAAAAAACACCAACTTACCAAACCATTACTTGTCAAAAGTCTTCACCTCGAGACGATTTTGTAAGTAGTAATAGATGTAAACCGACCTCCCTCTTGAATATACCACTTGCAAATGTAAAGAAAACACAAAAACATGATCCTGCGAAGCCTATCTTGGATGACTTTGTCTTTCAGAATTCTTTGGTTGGTAGTATACCTAAAAATAACCAACTCAAAAAGCCGCACCCTGATACACCTAGTTCAATATTACCTACAAAACGAAAACCATCTACTACTTCTGAATCGAAAGAAATAATACCAGCCTCTAATGCAGACAAGACAGTGTCGGGGAACATATCACTGACTAAAAGTAAAACTCAGAAGATTCCTTGCCAAAGTGTTTCTAAAAACCAGGATCAGCATCTGAAAGCAGTCTCAAAAAGCATTCTGTTCCAAATAACAAACTCCAATTGACTACTGACGGTAACCAGTCTGTATTCAGCTCTAACAATCGTTCTTTGTTTTGTCCTGAGAAAAAACCCGTTTCACCTCATTCTAAGAAAAGAAAAAGTGTCCGGGACTTCAAGAAGAAAGTTATTGATAGTGAGGATTCTGATTGGGAGCCGAACACAATTACTAGTTCTCAACATCAGTCGGGCGAATTACTTGACCCAGATTCCTCATCAGAGTCTCGCTACGAATCGATGTATGATAAGATTAAGCGCAGAACTAACCAAAGTACAGCAAAATCCATTGACTCTCTTGTGAAGCCAGATGTTTTCCAGCGTTTATTAAAGAACAAAAGTAAGGAACCTAAAAAACCGAATTCGCAGAAGTCTCTAGTTGATTCCGATACAGATGAATGTTTGAGCGATGGTTCATCAATTCACTCTGGTGATGCTTCTAATTCAGCTACTAAACGCACAACAAAGACAAATTCTTTATCGAATGAAATAGGATCAAAATCTGTGAAGCACAAAGTCCCAACTACTAGTAGAGCTAAATCACAAGCCATCTCTTCTGTGTCACCTAAACGGAAGAAAATTGTCACCGACTCCGAATTGTCTTTATTAAAGGAACCTTCACATAAAGCTAGAGGTCGAAAGGCGAAGAAATCTAACATTTCCAACAAAGCACAGTCACTGACTGCTCAGGTACGACGTAATCATAAGAGCAGTGAACAGCAAGGGCCTGTAACTACTTTGAATTACCGATCAATTACTCGTCGCAAGAAACCTTGCGTACAAGAAAAAAATGTTCCCGCAGATGAAAACGATGGTAAAGTTATTTCGGGGCGCGTAAATTTAACAGGTCGGTCGAAGACACAAAAACAGAAAGCTATCTCAGCTGTAAACAAACAGCTTCTTTCTATAAAGAATACACGTCGTAGTCTAGTTCATCGTGTATTTGCTTCTACAGACTCATCTTCGCTTTCATCTGTAATATCTGAATCTTCTGATGACGACTTGTCTAATAACCAGGTTCCTGATTTGTCCGTCAAAGAGGAAGTAAGTGCGACGGAAATTACCCAAGAGAGCAATTATCAACCTATCAAATCCAAGTCTCCCACGCTTCAACTTAGTCGTTCTTGTAGTCCCGAAGATCTGCGGGCAGATGCAGCAATACGTCATACTTTCGGAGCTTTCACTGCACCATTTATTTGTTTTAAAACTGATCCATCGCATACTCCAGCTATCGGGCACAATGCTCCTCAAAGTACAGATGTAAATGTAAAGTTTTCACCAAGTTCTGAGGATTCAAAGCCGACACCTCCCACACTCCCAATGACTGATTCAAGTTTCAGTGGTGATCAACAGTCTAATGGTATCTCTGCTGCCAAATTAAAAAATCGCGATCACAGTGATTGGAACATATTTTCTTCGTTAGCCAAACAGTCAACTCCAATAAAAGATGATAATATACACCAAAATTTATCTTCGGCTTCTGGGCTTGCCGCTGAAAGTAATGAAATTCCAGTAAATTCTACTGCCGAAACTTCGTATGATACAGAAGATGAGTTGCCATCGTTAGAGAAACATGATGATGATGAAGTAAGCATTCCGTATGAATCATCTATTTTACTCCATGAAAGTGATAGTCTTAATAATCGTGCTGAAAGCTTGAATGGATATAATGATGACGATTTACCTCCTCCAGTAGTCTCGGATATTGATCACCAACTCAGCTATTCAGATATGCCTGCAGTTGTGGGGACTGTCCCAGATATTATAGAAGAAGTTATTTACGACGGTTTGGAAGTGGCTGTTCAAGACGAAAGTCATCCTGCAATAAATAAATCTGTAAAAAGAGTGACTCGTGTAAAAATTCTCCCAAGTCGTTGTCTGGTTCTTCTCCTAATGTGATAGAATCAACCGTAAAAACAGGATTAGATCAACCTTTAGTGGACATAACTGACTCTCTTCATATTGATCTAAGTAGTGTGACTAATAATTTTTCTCCAAACGTGTTATCGCCAATTACTCTTCCTGTTATCACTTCGTCGTCAAGCAGCGTGTCTGTCCAACCAACTGTATTTACACCCGTCTCTGCGCTACATGTTACCTCACAACCTTCTGAAGTACAGACTATGAATCAATCCATGTTGGTAACCATCTCTTCGGTGTCCTCTACTAATTTAAGTCCATCTAACAGTGCACTATGTACTGATGAAGAAGCTTCCATATCACAACGTTGTTCATCTGTACAATCTAGTCTCAATTCTAAACCTCAACATCACATTGCTGTCGTACTACCAACAACCACCTTATCGTCTCCGGGAAGTTCAATTGTAACTGTGTCTTCTCTCATGCCAGAATCTTCTACCAATGTGACCACCACTTCATCTGTTATTAAGTTGGAAAGTTCCCCATTATCAATAACTTGTTCATCCACAACTGCTTTAAATGGTCAACAGTTACAAAACGTGACTTCTCATCCACCAACTACTGGAATTACTAACCCTATTGCTGTTGCTGCTTCATTAGATAATACTGCTCCTACATCTCATACTTGTTTATCATCAGTTTCTCAGTCCTGTAATACAACCTTTGATCCATCTGATTACACTTCGTATGTCCAGCGTGTAATTGAACGTGTAAAACAAGAAAAAGATGAAGAAATATTACAGCAAAGAGAGAAAATGAGACGTCCTAAAAGAAATACTTCTGTTTCAACGCCTTCTATGGCAACATCTACAACTACGAATCACATTAATACTTCTGCTACTGTCAACTGTTCTGGAGTTTTATCCCCAACACCTATAAATCTACTAAATGTAGCTCCTATTCCAACTGCTGATGTACTTAAACCACCAGTTGTGGTTAACATTGATGATAAAAATGCGACAATTCCTATGTGTGTTGCAAATAACTCAATCGTTGTTCAAGACTCATTCTCCCGTATTGTTAAGAACGTAAACAGTCCGAATCCTCAATCCGCTAACATTTCAGAACCACCCATTACATCTTCGCACTCTCAGCAACTCGTTGTAAGTGCCTCCACCGAACAAAATCTTTACGTGCTTGGATGTAATAACTTGACTGATGACATTCATTCACGAGATCCAGTCGATGAAACGATCGAAGCTGTTGTAAATGGAGAGTTTGACGAGAAAGAATATGTACTGAAGTTATCGAAGGGCAACTTTACTCCTAATGGCCATTGTCATACCTTATCCGGTAGCATTGGTTCTCCTTCCAGTCATCCTGATATTTTCACATGGGTACCTGATGATTCTGCAATAAAAAGCGATTATCACCAATCTGGTGTTTCAGAGGCTGTTTGTACGCGATCTAATAGCTCTGTAAGTTGTTTTTGAGTTGTCAGTTAAAATCTCTCCGCACATTAAATCTAGCTTGAACAGTTTTTCAGTAGTAAGGAATTAGCTTGAAGACCGTACTTTAAAAAATTATTTAGCTAATGTTTATCTGATATTTTATCGTATGGTTATATTTTACTCATGAATTTTGTTATGAATTCAACTTTTAGTTTATCGAACCAAACCACTTGTGTAAACTTGTTGATATGTATGACAGAACTAGTTTTGGAAAGTCGCAGCAGATAAGTCCATAACTCACATTATATATAACCATTAAATATTTTTTCCAACTGTCCAAATATCGGTCTGTCAGACGGCAAAATTTAGTGCTTAGTACCCTTAAGAATCTGTGGCATTAATATAATTGCTTTCATTTTGGTATCTAACTTTATGTTTATAAATACATTTTATTTAAAATGATTGCTATGTGTGTCTAACATGCCCAGTAGTTAGGTAGTCAAACGTATCTATAAGTTTCACCAGTATAGACCCGAGACCTATAGTGCTCTGTGTTGAAGGAGTTTTGTTAATCTAAACCTTGAACTAAATTTTGTTAAAGTTGCTGTACTGAACATTAATGATCTTGCTTTTGCAATCAAGTTTTCTCTCACCTACATTATTGTTTATTCAACTGTAAAGGTGTAACCAACAGAGAAGTAGCTTCGCGTTTCAGTCAGTCAGTAACAACGTAGAACTTCGTACGTACGTACATCAGTTCGAGTTGCCACACCACATTAGCACAGAGATGCAGTGGTCGATTCAAATCCTGTAGTGGTAGAGGTAATAAGAGTATAAGCAGTAATCGAGAAGATCAGTGTTTGGAGATGTTACTTAAAGAGTATAATACAGTGAAATAAATTTGAGAGGAGAAAAAAAAGAGACAAGGAGGAATAAGATCAAAATTTGGGAGAACACAGAGAGTGGATGCACCTTACTGTTCCGTTCAGTCGGACAGCGCACAAAGGACTGTCTACTGGGATCCACTCTAAGAGAGCTAGTTCTGCACTAGGACTCAATGCTATACCTACGCCGACGAGGCCACGGGAAGCAGAATCAGGGCTTCCAGATACACGAAGTGTGAATCGAGTCGGTCCTTTATTTTGGCATGGTGAGGTCAGATGAGTGACGCTACTCGGATCCTGTATGTGCGTTTCGGAGACGCAGCATACATTGATGGCGCGGGATTCTAAAGTCCTAGCTAAGGAAGCCTGCTGTCCTATTTGGCACAGTGTTCGGACGTTAAAAGCTCCTACGTGTAGTTTAGAGCGTAATTTCAGGAGACCAGGAATATCGTTCCGCGTACTCGAATCGTTTGCCCTAGCGGTGCGAGATAATAAAGAGACGTGAGGAGGGTTAGGTGGCTATTTAAGTTGTTGAGTAAAATTGAGCAATTAATCACTTGAGTCCACGTGAATAATTGCTTGAGGTATTGAAATTAGTGGTTGTCGGAAGGTTGCGAAGGTTTTAATCATAGCCATCTTGGAGAAATATCTTAATGCTAAACTCTAGTAAAGTCAATAATATAACCCTACAATTGATTTTGAAATCCACTATGTCCTTTTATTGACGTGTTGTAAGCATGTTTTTGAGCAATATTTCCAACTGACATAGCTGGAGAGGATCATTATACCTAATAAACCTAAATTCATCCCCAAGTTTTTACATATGATTCGTATTATATTATTCATCAAATAAGGCTTGTTCGTTATCATCATGACGATAGTGACCAAAATTTTCGAATCGCCATTCCTCTCATAACTCCTGAGTGCCAGTACTTAAGACAGTATATATCAACCTCTTAGGTTTTTGTGTTGGGTATGATATTGTAAGTAGGGCTCTTCAATTTGAAAGCGTTATGGATAAAACACTTGACTCTCGACAAGTATGCCGCATATTCAAACCCTACTTTACTGACGTCGATTCAGACATCAGGTAATATCACTAGCCCTCACACAAACAATATGTAGTTGAAGTGAAACCCGCACTTGGTAGATCAGGTCGTAATAAGAAATGATAAAATTTTAGCTCACACTGGTAACCAAGTGTTTAGTATTCTAGAAAATATGGAGATAGGGAGCCATCTAATGTCTACAAACCCAATTTCACTTTGTCCTGGAGTTGATTTTATCGTTGTCCATCATTCAGTGGTTTAGTAGTTAAAGGAGTTCGAAAATCGGCTGTTAAACCCCTAGTTCAAACTCTGCTTCGCTTTGATTTAAGCTACCGAATAGTATCATAAGTCCTCCCATTTAAAATTTAACTTATTTTGATCATTTATAAATGTTGCGTTGTAGATAAAGTCTAAAGTATTTTGAGATGTGTTGAAAATATTTGAAAGTTTTTCCTCGATGATTGATAACCACTCTACGATACTTATTTTATGCGTAATTTTTCGGTTCTGTTAATGTACTTACATTTTTGTGGTTTTGTTTGTTCTCAATATTTTCATTTTAGGCTGTCAACATCTGTGTTGACTCTTCGTCCACCTTGTCTGTTAGCAAGGAGATTACTGATTCTATTATTTCAATGAATCATTCTTCAGCAGTTTTAACGCCTATGCATGTATTGACGTTTGTCGCAGCTGGTGCGGCAACATCGACGTCCCAACTTGTACCCACTTCCACCGCAATAAGTCCTAATGTTTCGTCCCAATCATCATCCAACCTACCGACTTCTACGCATAATTTACCATCGATTTCCAATCCATCTAGTTCTACTTTGGATAATATTGGTAGTATGACTCCGCTTGCACCATATACACCTATCCTGAATTCTTCTAATTCACTGCCTACCGATTCAACTAATACTCGGATTGAAGAGTTTGCAGCTCGATTTGCTAATAATCCTTTTACGACGTATTTCTATTCTTTGTTAACACAAAAACAGCTTAGTCCATCTCTTAGCCCATCGATCTCTTCTGCTGATTCTATCTGTCAGCGTTCAAGTGACAATATATCGTTGCCAATATGTTCATCTACAAAACTAAAAAATCTGTCTATTCCAAATGCGTCTGTTAGTGGAGACACAGCGGACTATCTAGCTGCAGCAACTATGGCTGCTATGGCCGCTATGACTGGACCAACTCAAGATATGACTTCGTTTGGTCAAAGTGTGGCATCTGTATCTTATTCTGATTCGAAACCGATATCATCTGATAACCAGTTTCTGCATATGTCAACTGCACATTTAGGAATACAAGTGAGGTTTTTCAAAAATATTTTTATGTTAAGATTATGTGGTTTTTCATATTCTGATAACGTTTATCATTATCTTACGTTTTGGCTGGTTGTACGCGTTTTACACTACTGATCAGCTACTTACTTACACCTGTTACACCTCGTCGAGGAGCATAAACCACCATCAGCATTCTCCATCGAACTCTGTCTTGAATAATCCATACCAGTTGTTTTCAGTTACTATACATTCTTTTGATGTCTACCTCCAATACCCGAAGCAGTGTGTTCCTTGGTCTTCCTCTTTTCCGTCTCCCTTCAGGATTCCAAGTTAGGGCATGCCTCGTAATGCAGTTTGGTGATTTCCACAATGTATGCCCCATCCACTTCCAGTGTCTTCTTAATTTCCTCTTTATCTGGAAGTTGGTTTGACCTCTGTCAGAGTAGGTCATTGCTGATAGTATCCGGTCAACGGACATTGAGTATCTTGTGCAGACAATTGTTTCTAAATACTTATATAGTTTTGATGATGGTTGCAGTAGTTCTCCAAGTTTCAGCTCCACACAGTAGACCTGTCTCGACGTTCGTGTTAAAGATTTTGACTTTGATGTTGGTTTGCAGACAGTTGTTTTGAGTTCCATATATTCTTCAGTTGTTAGGAGTGATGTACATGCTTTGCCAGTCCTTGACTTCATATATGCATCAGATCCTCCTTGTTGATTGATGATGCTGTTCAAATAGGTGCGTGAAGTGTTCCACCTCTTCCAGAGTTTCTCCATTAATTGTGATTGGTTTGATGTTCCCTGTGTTGTATTTGAGAATTTTAGTTTTTCCCTTGTGTATGTTGAGGTCTACTGACGTAGAGGCTGCTGTCACACTGACTGTATTCACCTGCATTTGTTGGTGTGTGTGTGTGTGTGGGACAGAAGAACCAGGTCATTTGCGAATTCCGAATCGTCTAGTTGCATGTGAGCTGTCCACTGTATTCCGTTCTTTGTTTGTTAGAAGGGTCATCGGCCCCATGACTTCCGAAAAATCTTGGGTTTTAGTATGTGGCATCATAATTCTTAATGAAGATGCTTCAGTTGGGAAGTTAGAGTTTAGATGGTTTAACTTGTTCATTGTGGTTAGCGATTTTTAGCAAGGTTGTTTTCTACATGATAGTATTGCTGACGCGATTCTGAACCCTCTTCCTTTGTGTTGGCTTGGGACCGACAGTACACCTTTAGAATAGCTACATGTACCATTTCTTTAGCTAAAGTATGTTCAATGCTTTTCATAGAAATAGTCTGTGGACTTCTGTGTTTTGAACTACTTGATATTTTAAAAAAAAACAGATGAAGTAGACCGATGGCGGTAGATAATTGAGGAGCTATGAAATGTTTAAGATTAGGAATGAGTTCTGCAAAAATCCTATGCTTTTGGGGTCAATGTTTTTATTGTCGCTTGGGTCTCCAGTAGTTGATATATATTATTTTGAGAACCTTATCTATTGTCAACACATTTGGCAGTTCGTAGACATTCAAATATTTGCACTTTAACGAAAGCCGACGCAATGCGCAAGACTTGTATGTTTACCGAAATTCAGTAGATGATTAACCCATGCAAATTGGAAAGCAGACCATTCAATCTCAAGTGTTTTCTCCAAAAGTTGTAATACTTGACACTCTTTCTTCCTCGTTCATATAGACTGTGTAAGAACCCTCAGTAAAACAATCAATCCCTAAAACGAGTCGAATATAGATGGCTGTCTCTATCAATACCCTCGCTAAAGCAGAATTAGGGATTGCGAACATTTCTGAAAAATATTAATAGTTGTTGCTACTTGAGATAATGAATTTCTGTATGTCTTTAAGGGACTAAATATCCCAATCCTAATAATGGAAAATTAAAATCCTCATTTTTAAATTTCTAGGTATTCTCTAGAAAATGGTGGTATCTCAAAGTATAAGTTGTTATTATTCATATATTTTGGTTCCTCATGTTTTATGCAACCGATACAAAATATATCTTGCTCCAAAATGTTACTTATCTGTCTGCTTTGTATCTACTTTTCTTAAGCCTAGTGTATTTTGGTCAGTTTCATATTCGTTTTTAAATGCATCGCCTTAAGCTAATGCTATGTTATGCTCGTATCTTAAATTGTTCCCTCGATCCAAATTATTACTGTGGCAAAAGTGTCACAAACTTTTGAATATCTTCGAACATCATTTCCGCTCGTTCAACTATGCAGTACAGTATTTTTCGTTATGCTGTCAAAGCACCGTCAAAATATCTTTTTCATAGTTCTGTCTCTTGAATAAAATTGTATCATAAGCAGTTCATAAACGCTCCATTCCTGTTTCTCAGTTGCTTGCTTTCCTTCTTTTACGGCACATTATTTCGGAAAATAGAGTAAATCGCCTCTTATCTAGCCATTTCTTGTTTCTTGTTTAATTTAGGAACTTCACTACGTTTATATTTAATGGATCAGTATCAAGTATATGACATAACATCCTTCCTCAAACCATTGGGATGCAATGAAATATATGTTGTCTTCTTTATTAAATCCATTGGTTTTAAAACCAGACGCTTTCATTCTGAAATAAGTGACAATTTTCAAATAAACCATAAGTTGTCATATTTTTTGTTAACACATCGTTGTAATCAGATCGCTAAACCTCATAGTGCTATTACTTGATTTAGTGAAGGTTATTTGTAAGCTGCTTCATTTTAATATTTGATAACATTATTCGCCAATTTAAGTATCCATTTGTTGAAGCACTACTGATTATATATATAGCAACAATTTTTACTCACACTCCATAATGTATATTGGGATTCTCATTGAGATTGTGTATTAAATACTGTTACTAAAAACTCATTTTTTGAAATATATTTGTTACTCAATTATGAAAGTTTACATGTAACGTGTCCATGTTTATTTTGTGTTTTCACGGCTCCATGTTTAGACAGAATCCATAATCATTTCTTCAGCTTCTAAATAAAAAAAAGTTATGTGCTTCATGTATCCTAAGTTCGAAGATATTTTCGAGTTTTTTATATTGGATTTTTCTGTATTGTGAAATTTTGATGTTCATCGGTTTACCTAACAGCAATTTTCGAAACGAATTTACGAATCACTAGCTACGTATTTGTAAAGATTGAGCTCCGTCTGTATTTGCATAAGAGTGTGTTTTAATGTATATTGCAGTTTCTAATGTTTCGTCCTCTGTTCTGACCTAACAGTATCAGTTTTAATTTTTCTAGGAATATTCAGTTATTTGGCGAGGACGTCTTTCCCTGAAAAATGAAGAGGTTTTTGTTAATATGCATTATGTTAGTGGTAATCAAGATCTACTGAAAAGCTGTATGGGTGTTATAACAGAACAACAAGTAGCTCTTAGCAACATTGCTACAAGTTCTAGTTCGTTGGGGTCGTGTATGACAGGGGATTCTATCGGGCCTCCACATCAACCTTTAAAGATTGTGCAACGAATGCGTTTAGAAGCTTCTCAACTTGAAGGGGTTCAGAGGAAATTGCGACAACTAAATGATTTTTGTATGTGCCTTACCTTAGCATCTGCTCCTCCACTAACACCTGATGCTTCGTTGAATAATGAACAAATACGGATGAACAGAATACTGTGTGATGGATTTATCAAATACATGCTTGAAAAGGGTGCCGCTGGAATAATAAATGTTTGTCATCCATGCACTCAACAAGTAAGATAATTTATAGGTTACGTTTACTTCATGTGACTACTGACAGATATTCGATCGTATTTGTCTTATGAATTTCGATTACTTCTGTGATGATCTATTCGTAGCACGTATATTTTCTAATACATTAGAGCATCAAACATAGAAACTACACCAGGATTGCCATTAGCTTCTACTTTGATCCATATTTGATATTCTAAATGCATACATGTTGGTTTCCGTATTTGTTGGTACTTTTCTATGAATCTTAATTGAGAGTTAGGATTTCAGTTCGTTATGAAACGATTTTTCAGTCTCATCAAAATATTTGTTTTAAAGATTATTTAAATTTATAAACATTTAAGGTTACAGAAAGCTATAGAGGGTTTAGCATAGATAGAATCGATGTAATTGGTTGATGAATATGGTCGAACTAATATTGTTCTCGTTAAGCAATATGAGAGTGCCATAGACGAAATATCTATCTATCTATCTATCTATCTATCTATCTATCTATCTATCTATCTATCTATCTATCTATCTATCTATCTATCTATCTATCTATCTATCTATCTATCTATCTATCTATCTATCTATCTATCTATCTATCTATCTATCTATCTATCTATCTATCTATCTATCTATCTATCTATCTATCTATCTATCTATCTATCTATCTATCTATCTATCTATCTATCTATCTATCTATCTATCTATCTATCTATCTATCTATCTATCTATCTATCTATCTATCTATCTATCTATCTATCTATCTATCTATCTATCTATCTATCTATCTATCTATCTATCTATCTATCTATCTATCTATCTATCTATCTATCTATCTATCTATCTATCTATCTATCTATCTATCTATCTATCTATCTATCTATCTATCTATCTATCTATCTATCTATCTATCTATCTATCTATCTATCTATCTATCTATCTATCTATCTATCTATCTATCTATCTATCTATCTATCTATCTATCTATCTAATCTCTCTCTCTCTCTAATATATATATATATATATATATATATATATATATATATATAGGATCATTTGTTTTAAAATTGTTGGTTCTTACTGCTGTCTGGTCACTCATTATCAACTACAGAAGTAAGCTTTTGCTTATCTTATGCCATATTTTGACCTTAGTTTTTTTGGTGATTGCCCTAATTTCTGATAGAAAAGTTAAAAAATACCGTCGCCTAAAACTGACTTTTTTGATAAATATTTTTATTATTGAGAACGAAAATCAGTCAGTCAGCTACAATGTAGGACCAGGCACATATGTGCATCGGTCCAGGTTGCCATACCGCATCAGCACAACAAGATGAACACCGGATTCATAGCAGTGGTTATGTCAAAGGTGGTAATATATAAGAGAAAGATTGCATATAGAGTATAATACAAGAAGAAAGAATTGGTTCATAGAAAGAAAGATATGAAGCGATTTTAATCTCTTAGTTTAAGGGAAGACAGGGAGTCAGTGTATATTTATGTACTTTCAATTATTGGGTGTCGAATTCGAGCTCCAGTTCACATATTCCCATTTAAGCTTCTAGATAATATCACTAGTCCTCACATAGTAAATGTAGCTCACACCTTATTACACAAATCTGCTCTTGGTGAATAAGTTATTCCAGTACATCAAACTTTTATAAGTTTGAGTGTAAATGACTAAGTTTTTCGGTTCAAGGTATTTCTCAACAGAGTTAAGTAGAAATTTACATAAATTCACTTGCTGATGTTTGTTTGAATCTTCCCATTTATGTTTAGGACTTCAACTGACCAGTCTCTTATTGGCATATGTGCATACTGTGTGTATTGCCTCGATATAGCCTTAATTTACAAGCATTATATACAAAGATGGATAGTGGCTAGCAGTGGAATCCAGGACGCGCGTTTCGTCCTAGCCACTATCCATCTTTGCATATAACGCTTGTGAATTAAGGCTATATCGAGGCAATACGCACAGTATGCACATATGCCAACATGAGACTGATCAATTACAGTCCTAAATAACAACGGGAAGATACAAGTAAACAAAACTAAGTAATATTAAACTTCACCCCATTGCACAAGCAAGTGGCTATCAGTACTCAGTAGCTAAGTGGATAACGCGGTGGCGTGTGAAGCGAACGGTACTGGGTTCGGGTCCCAGAGTGGACATCAACTCTGAGATTCAGGTACATCTAGCCGACGAGCCCAAATAGGACGAAACGTGGATCCTGTTAGCCACTATCCATCTTTGCACAGAAATTTATATATTTGTTTTCATCAATTCATTACGGCATAATTCATTTCTGTAATGGTACATGTTGTGCAATCACATTTTCATATAGCTTCATTTTCAACGATACTTCTACTCTTTGGGAATATAGCACAAACAGTGTTCCATTTTTAAGATGCAGCGATTGTTCACTAGATTTCAACATTTCTCTGTAACTATTAATTGTAATTTGTGCATTCTCTCGACTATAGTTTTTTTCCATCGCTTTTGTTTACATTCTAGAACTTGTATGTCATCCATATATTTCCTCCCTGTGAATTTTCACGTTGCCAGCTACAAGCATGTGCTCCTGCTCTTTATCACAGTTTAGCGGAAAATTCCATACCTCACGTATTAACTGTGATCACAACAGTATGACCATGATGCATTTAACTCCCGATTTGTTTCCTCATTTGGCTTTGAAATGTCCTTTTATCACTTTGTTCAATATAATGGACCAAGTTTAATTCCGATAAATGAACTAATCAACGGGTGTCTCAGTTAGTGCCTGTCTATCGAAATCTATATTTCTCTTCTCTCAGACCTTGTGGCAGCCAATAAACTTGAAGTAAATCCTTCTCTGAAATTATTTGTCCCCTGGCATATTCATGTTTATTATGTTTAGTCTGCCTGTTTCTTGGTTTGAGTAGCATAATGCAAATATTCTGCCCGAATTTTCACCTGATAAGGATATGTTGTTCTAAATCATAATAAGGATAGATAAAATTTTAATCGCCTATCCAAAGTTACGCACTAACTGTGATTCTCTATTTTATTTGACCTTATTTTCAAAATGTCACTGATTGTATATATAATGTATATGTTTGTGTGTGTGTGTTCATGATCCCTTCACCTTATTTGAGGCAGCTTAAACCAATAATTTTTGATATATTATATATGTACATATCGATGTTTTCCACATATTGATTTGTTTTAAATGAACAACAAGCTTATGTATATATGTTCAGTGGCGTGACTAGTCAGATTGTTTTTAAATGATACGTTGATTCGGATGAAATGTTTTACCTTGTTGCTTTTTAATGGTTGAGAATTAAATATTAACTGATTTCTCTGAATATTATCCTTGTGTGAATACAGTTGATTTATGAAATGGGTAGTGTTAAGGATATTAAGATTGCCGATCGATCTAACGAACAGAATACATGTGTCCGTTGAGATGTATAAGATACTGAGTTTACACAATATAACAAAAAATATAGAACATTCAAATTTCAATGCTTACTTACCTATTTACGCCTGTTACCCCTCGTCGAAGAGCATAAACCACCATCAGCATTCTCCATCGAACTCTGTCTTGAATAATCCATACCAGTTGTTTTCAGTTACTATACATTCTTTTGATGTCTACCTCCAATACCCGAAGCAGTGTGTTCCTTGGTCTTCCTCTTTTCCGTCTCCCTTCAGGATTCCAAGTTAGGGCATGCCTCGTAATGCAGTTTGGTGATTTCCACAATGTATGCCCCATCCACTTCCAGTGTCTTCTTAATTTCCTCTTTATCTGGAAGTTGGTTTGACCTCTGTCAGAGTAGGTCATTGCTGATAGTATCCGGTCAACGGACATTGAGTATCTTGTGCAGACAATTGTTTCTAGATACTTATATAGTTTTGATGATGGTTGCAGTAGTTCTCCAAGTTTCAGCTCCACACAGTAGACCTGTCTCGACGTTCGTGTTAAAGATTTTGACTTTGATGTTGGTTTGCAGACAGTTGTTTTGAGTTCCATATATTCTTCAGTTGTTAGGAGTGATGTACATGCTTTGCCAGTCCTTGACTTCATATATGCATCAGATCCTCCTTGTTGATTGATGATGCTGTTCAAATAGGTGCGTGAAGTGTTCCACCTCTTCCAGAGTTTCTCCATTAATTGTGATTGGTTTGATGTTCCCTGTGTTGTATTTGAGAATTTTGGTTTTTCCCTTGTGTATGTTGAGGTCTACTGACGTAGAGGCTGCTGTCACACTGACTGTATTCACCTGCATTTGTTGGTGTGTGTGTGTGTGTGGGACAGAAGAACCAGGTCATTTGCGAATTCCGAATCGTCTAGTTGCATGTGAGCTGTCCACTGTGTTCCGTGCTTCCTCCGAGATGTCGAGGTCTTCATAATCCAGTCAACCATCAGAAGAAAGTGAAAGGGAGGAAGTAAGCAGCCTTGTTTGACTTCGGTCCTGACTTGTAATTGGTTTGTGGGCCGTCCTCCATACACGACTTTGCAGTGTAGTCCATCGTATTAATTCCGTATGGTGTTAATGATTTTCCCTGGTACATTATAGTGTGGAAGAAGGTTCAATGAGGTTTTCCTATCCACACTCGAATGATTTCTCATAATCAAGGAAGTTGGTGTATAGTAACGAGTTCCATCCAATTGATTGTTCAACGATGATCCGTAATGTCTGTGCACTTTGGTCTGCGCACTACCTATCCACACGGAATCCAGTCTGTTGATCTCGAAGCTGGTCGTCTACTGAATCTTTCATCTGGTTCGGCAACACTGTTGAAAACGTTTCTTGGTACCGATACTATGATGATGTGATGCTTGTGCAGTTCTCACACTTGCTGAGATCTCCTTTCCTTGGTATCCTGATGAGATGTCCTTCTTTCCGGTATGTCTGTCTGTCTGTCTGTGTCCATCAGTATGTCGTCACTTGTTCCTCCTCCCAGATCCTCTTGAATGGAACATGAGGATGTTTGTGGTTACTTCATCGTGTGATTTCAATGATTCAGTTGATAAATTGTCAGGTTCGACTGCTTCTGCTGCTGTTGCTGTTTTGCCACAGTTGATTTGTTTGATGACCGGTCATCCTGATTTCTTCGATCGTCGGTGGAGTGACAGTTGTAGGAATGTGTATATGTTTGCCTCGATGTCCGTTGTGTTCATTGGAGCTGTTCTATTCAGGAGCTACTCAACCTAAGTGTTAATAGGTTACTGGAATCCAAACAACAATCTGTGATTTAGACTTATTATATCCCATAAGCGTGGAACGTTCAATTCAGATCCTTCTGAATATCGAATATACTTGATGCTTCCTAACCTTCTACGAGCGGGCGAATTCATATGTAATCGTACTAAACGGGTTCGTAATGATGTAACTGACTGGGGCGATTATTCACTGCAGATAATTTTGTTTAGGATATGTGGTCTTGTACCGTAATGGAAGTTAAATAATTATAACTGGATGACAAGTAATGAGACGACGTTATCAGATATACAGAATAAAAAAGTCGACAGTTAGGACTGTCTTTGCTAGGTCATTATTTTATTCTATGCATAACTATCTCTGAATACTGACAAAACAATGAAGGAATGTTTATCTTTCAGCTATCCTTCTTTTACCCAAAATACTGAACCACTTTGAGCAGAACACTGAAATTAGTTGTCAAAGTATCAGTGAAGTTGAGAAGGTAGTAAGAAGCATAAAAGAAGACAAATAGGTTTGCTTTTGAGATAGCTATTCATGATAATTGGTGACATAATGGACCCATCATAGACGAATCTTTGAATTTTCGATGTTCTCAATGTTGAATTATGCCATGCAGAAGGCTTGATTATGCAATTCGTGCACATTACTTACTGAACTAAATTTTAGGAGCCTACTTGTTATATCAATGCGGAAACTGGAGTGGGTAACTATCGCTTCGCTGTATTCATCTACACAGTGACTGATTGCATCCTTGATTTCAATAAAGGATGATCACCAACGCCAATTAAATGTCTTCTATAAAGCCTATACGATAGATATTACGATGTTAGAATGAGACAGGTTGGGTGTCTAGAGATTGAGGAGAATCATTTGGGTTACAGGTCAGATAACTGTGATCGTCTTGTGCAATTTTGTTCAGATCATAACATGTCATCAAAATAACCCATAGTGTCATTGAATAAGAAAAAGAGAATTCAGCGAAGAAAATTTCGTCGAAAAGAAAAATTTCTTCGCTGAATTCTCTTTTTCTTATTCATAACATGTCCTCAGCACCAACACTTGAAACTGTCATCTAGGTTCCTCCCTCTTTAAATAAAACCGAAACCCACATCACAGTCAGCTACCGTTGGTATGGATGTGTACTTATCTGAATTCTGATCATGACCTAGTTTACTCTAAAGTTATCTTAATTTTCGGAGGCCAGCAAACGTCTTATCTTGAACCGATTAATTTAAACGAATCGGCTTTCATTGTAACTAAACTAAACTGTGTTTAAGGCTGATTTTTAATTCACTTTGGTCAGTGAGTTTGATAATAGACGTAGGTTCCTCTGCAGGAAACTTTTCCTTAGTTTGCTAAAGGATCTAGAAACCTGGCGGTCAGAGTATACTAACGAGGTGGAAAAAACAGTTGCTGTTTTAATTCATCTGAGCCACTGGAAACTGGAAGTGTAGTTTGAGTGAAACAATTTATAAAACCAATTAGTACCATCCAACGTCTTTTCAAAAGGTAGCCATAGTTCTTTGAGGGACAGTTCAACTAGCCTGTTTGCCCCACTAACATTGATAAGGTTGTTTAGTCTTACCTCGCCATTGATTACCGACCTACCTAACGAAGTGGAGGTCAGCAAGGAGTTTCATCTTCTGAAGAGTCACAGACTGATGGGCCTAAACGACATACCTTTAAGTCTTCTCAAGGATGCTGACGAGCTTTCGGACAGATAGCTGACTGGATAGTTTGAAAATGTTTTGGAAAAATAAGGCGTTTCAACAGCTATGAATGAAAACATCGTTTCCATATTTACAGATTCTTTGCAGTAACTATTGGGGGATAAGTCTACTGTCGATCACGTTCAAAATATCGGTTTCCGTCACTTCATTGATTATTCGGAACCGTTCGAAGGCTGACACGTAAGGAGCGCGTTATCTGTATTGTAGATGTATTGGTCACATCACACTTCACCAAATTCCGAAACGTCACATTTGCTAGCGAACTATCTTATGCTTCTTAATATCAGTTCTGCGATTTATTGGATAGAACTGTACTTTTAGATTGTCTGTCAAAGATGTGTGTGCCTAAGAAGTTTGTCAACAGCTTCGGGGACCAGGAGTATTGAGGACTTACTTTCACCTCCCTCCTTTATTCCGTTTTAGCAGTGAGGTACTACAGATTTACCCGATCTCACAGTTTCTTTATAACTTTGCCACAATTACATTCTGGGATACACTGAAAGTATGTATTAGTGATATGATAAAGACTACGGTTTTGAGTGTGTGGATGATGTTTTCTTACTGTATGATAATACAACCTATGCGAGTCACAGTTGGCAATTAGTGTTCTTAAGTATAACATGTGTTTTGCGCCTTTGAAGCGCAGCAATACTTGTATAAGATTGGCAGAAGCTTCTGCTGGGACTCATACTCTGTGATGAACTGTCCAAATTGTTTGGAAAGCTTGTGTATCCGTCGTTTTCTTAATTTTGGTGGTGAGGAAGATCAGTCTACTTATAATGAAAACCAGATCTAGGCGATTTTCGACACCGTCGTGATGTGAGTCTAGTTGCAAAAGGTTTGTTCTACAGCATGTTCGTAATAGCAGTTTTATTGTATGCTGATGAGACCTGGCTTTTCTCAGTTGGTGGTGTTAGACGACTTTGGGTCTGGTCACCGTCGTCTCTGGGGGACTATCAGAATTCAGTGGCAACACCATGTTACTAATGTGGAGGTTTGACAGCGTTTTCGAGCACATTGATAACAAATAAATTGTTGTCACCACCTTGTAATTTTAAACTCATAGAAAAACCTTCCAAACATCTGAGATATTTTTTCCAGACGAATACTATTAAAAAGTTCCTTGGGAAATAATTAACTACCTAAGGCACTAGAGTGTAGGCCATCAGGTTGTTTTGA